CATGTTCAACTTGATCATAGACTTCTCACTTGTTGACTTTTTTAATGGCCTGGCTTCACTAGCTCGAATCATCATGACGGTTTGCGAAGGCTTCTTAGGCTCCCCTCCCTTATGCACTATCTCAATCATATTTGTTTCATGATAGGCTGGCAAGCGATTCTGATTGATATTGGGCGCCTCCGAAGCTTGGACCTCAATCTGATTGGTGTCAATAAGTTCTTGAATGACTGTTTTCAATTTCCAACATTTCTCTGTGTCATGTCCCGGGGCCCCTGAACAATACTCACAACTCACCAAGCGATCAAGATTTCTGGGAGGGGGATTCGGCAATTTAGCCTCGATCGGATTCAACATACCCAACTGTCTCAGTCTGTGGAATAGACTAGTATATGATTCTCCCAATGGAGTGAAAGTCTTTTGCTTCTGCAACCTCTCATTCTTAAAGGCTTGATTGGGTCGAAAACCTATTCCAGGAGGATTTCTGTAAGCTTTTGGGGGTGGATAGTTATTTTGTGGAGCTTGGTATGGATTTTGTGGAGCTGGCGCACGCCATTGTGAGTGACCGGGTGGCTGGGTATAGTTTTGTGCGTGATGGACAGAAAAATAGGGATCTGGCGGTGGGTAATAGTGTTGTGATGGGTTATATGGAGTGTGGGGGTAAGTTTGGGGATAGGGTCATGGCTGGTTGTAGTAACGGGGAGGGTTCCTGGATCCAACCCAAGCTACCGACTCAATTGTCGCAACATCCTCCTTCTTGTTCTTCCCGAGCACACCCCCAGTACTGTTTTGAATGGCCTGAGTGGTCGCTTTGATCGCTGAATAACTCATGATCTTGTTGGACTTGAGTCCCTCTTCAACCATGCCTCCCATTTTTACGACTTCATTAAAGGACTTTCCTACTGCTGAAACCAAGTGACCGAAATAAGTGGGTTCCAAAGCCAAAAGTTGGCAAAGGTCATCAAAAGTTACATTCATAAATATGCTGAAAATTAGGTCAAATTTAGCTGAGCATTTCTCCCAATTTACATAGAATTAAGGGATGATCTACCTACTAAATTGAAGATCTATGAGTCTAGTTTCCAATGGAGTAAGCCGTTCATTGATACCATATTAGAATTGAGAAATATTCACATTTTCAAGAAACTGCGCAGACTGGTAAGTGACAAGTCGGTGCATCACCTACTTGCCAAAAGGAGAGGCCTCAATTAAAAGCTTCAAGGTCGGCCAAAGAGCCCTTTTAAGGGCTGATTTCCTTCAGATATTACACTCATAATAGATCAAAAAAATTAGATTTACACCCCAGAAAAATCCTCCCAAAATAATATTCTCTTTTTTTCAAGTTCTAGTTGGAGAAAAACCTAAGGGTTGAAGAATCAAAGTAGGAGTTGATATATTCACCAAATATGATAAGTATACTACCCATTTTAATCCATATTTTCTGCTATTAAAGTAGAGAAATTTATTCAATAATTGTAAGAACTCACGGGACGGTGATCGGAAGCCGTGAGTTCAAGTTGTTCAACTTGTAGTGGACTTTTTCAATGGTGGGCTATTATATGTTGTTGTTGAGTTGTCTCTTTTGCTGATATTTTTGTAGAGTTTTGGAGGAGTCAGGGTGTGGAAAAATACCACATAATGGCAGGGTGGTTGGCTGGTCATCGTCGTAACATTTTTGGGTTGTTTGACACTACTATGGTTGTCGTTTTGTGTATGGAGTAATAAAGGTATGTTGGGCTCTTTTGTGGTATTTTGTGATGGATATAAGGTTGGAAAATAATGTATATATATTATTATTGTTGTGTTCTTGCGTTGTTATTATTATGTCGAATTAGGGGAATGTAAAGATTATAGGGGAGACGCTGCCCGTTTTTTTACAAAATAAGCTTGTTGTTCGTTATGTGATAGTTGTACCTTCCATAAATTGATGATAGTATTGTTATCATTGTTGTAGATTAAGGTGCAACAAGACGAGTTTAACGTGGTTATTGGACATATTGTGATAAGGTATGTTAAGGCTAAACCTTTCTTTCATTTTGGCATCATCCAGTAACTGTTAGCTATAAATTTACCTGTGTGACATGAATTAATTATTCTATACGCAATAATGCGTTTTTGCATTGTCCACTCCTCATCTATCCAATGACTTGTAACAGTTAGATAATCACAATCATTACCACTTCTACCAATATCAGTAGTAATAGAAATCCGATTACTTATATGAGTAAATAAATACCGCAAATATTGTTCATATTCATGTTTATATTTATAAATATCGTTCTTAACTATTGCGCGAGGCCAACCTTTATAAGTAGGATTAAAAACTCTTCTCATATAATGCACCCAATTAGGATTAGAGGGAAAAGAATAGGGTAAGCACATAACAGTAACCATCTTTGCTAACTCTTCACGATCTTAATTTGGATCGTAATATAAAATACCTCCGGTCACTGTGTTAATTCCTGGTTGAACTAGATTTGAACCTGTTCTAGGGTTAACATCAGAATCTACATGTGTTCCCTCTAATTGCGCTTTCATTTGTAAATATCTAGCTTTATCTCTAGGGTGTATTTTTATGTACCTAGTCAAACTAACCGTGCCGCTACGGTATCCAGTATATTTATGCGCCAGTAATTTCCCACATGTTTTACACTTAGCCTTATTTTGTTCTCTTACTTGAGTAAGAAAATTCCAAACTAATGATGTTTCTAGGCGTTTAGAAGGTTGTTTAGTAAAACTATGGGTTTCTACAGGTGGGTCGGACAGTACATCAGTTGGGTTATTAACAGGACTAGTAGGTGTATCATCTAAATCCGGTTGGGTTTCATCTTCATCCTCATTTTCCTCATCATTTTCAAAGATAGTTTCATTAGGATAAAGAGCATTCATAGTTTCATCATCTAAATTTTGACCTGGTGCAACATTATGGTAAAATTGACTATCGAAAAATTGAAAATATGGGTTATCACTATCAAGAATAATAGGAGCAGCAGGACGTCTACCAGGTCTGGGTCGGGGAGCCGGGGGAAGGGAAGTAGGTTGGCCACTACTTTCACCAATTTTAGCTTTACCCTTACCACCAAAAATATTTTTCAAAGAAAATGGCATATTAATTATAATTATACTAAATAAAACTAACAAAACTATAATATTAAAACTTAAGAGTTGGAACGCGTTTACCGAATTGCCGAACAACTTCTTGAAAATTGAAAATCGTTGAAGACTTGAATACTTCAATTCACCAACTTCACAATTTTTCACGAAATTTCAACAATAAAATAAGCAATTATAGTAGAGAGATTGAGAGAGATTGATAAATTGGTGAGTAAAAATGAAAGAATGAGGGGGTATTTATAGTTGAGAATTGGGAAAAAGTGTAATTATATAAAGTTTGGGACCAAATGGCTATTTTCTAAACATCCAAACGGTCAAAATTGCAGCCCAAACGGCTACTTTTTAAATTTTGACCGTTGGAATTTTTTTTTATTTTTAAATAAAAACTAGCCGTTAGGCCCAGCCCAGGCCCGCCAGCCGGTCCCGGGCTTAGCGCTCCCGGGCTCGTGTGCTTTCTAAGAAGAACCGGGCCGCCACGAGCTTTAAAGAACGGTTAAGATCGGCCCACCAGGACCGTTAGGCCAGTTAGGACTGCGGGCCCGGTCCAGTTCAGGCCCGGCCCACAGTGCACCATTAGCCACATACCCCTCTTTTTTTTTTGTGGCTCTAAATCTTCTACAATTTTTTCGTCCATCGTGTCTGGGTTTGTTATTTATCATTTAATTTCAAATTGATAGTATTTTAGACATTTTAGCCATTTCTCTCTTTTGCCTTCTCTTTCTCTATTCCTATATCTGTATGTTTCTTTCTTCAATCTCAAATTTTAGCTTCTTCCTATGGCGTTCATCTTTCAAAGTGTAAGCTCTTTATTTTGGTGGGTTTTTCTGCAATTCATTTTTTGCTAACTGGATGTTAAATTGGATTTTTTACATACATGTGAATATTTTTTTCGTCAATTTTATACTATATTTCACTCTCAGATTGAATTTCCCCCATTGAGCAATACTCGCAAACGCTATATTGCGAGGTATTTGGATGCTCTTTTTTTTTCTGCGTAGGCTCGTGCTGAAAGATATACTAAAGTTGAAGCTGCTCCAAGTTTTGAGATTCAGTATTGTCTATACTTTTTTTCACGGTAATTAAATTATGTGGTCTTGTTGGTTATATTAATGTTGTCTTTTGAGGTTTATTGTTCTCTTTGTATTAAATAAACAAAGTATGTTTTCTGCTTTAGCGCTACAAGAAAAAGAATTGGAACTATTTTTCCTTAATGATGTGGTCATCAAAGTATATATTTTTAAACTCCTTCAAATTTCTCTTCATATAAGGGGCAGAGATGCATTAGGTACTACGTGTATGCTTTTGGGTTTTATTCTCTTTTAGATCAGATTCAGTTATAAGCGTTTGATTTTTTAAACATTCAAATTCACTTTAGGACCATGCATTATTGCATTATATATCGTAAGTGGTAGAATATATTTTCAATACCATCTCATACTTTTGATATCGGATAGTCGTGCAACAACATATATTATCTTGGCATTTTTAGATTGTGTCTCCTAATACAAAGAATTTATTTGTATTGTCTGTCGATTTCTGTTTTGTGTTTCCTTTTATGTGAGGATGAGGATGTAACATTGCCTCACAGTCAAATTAGCGATTGATTAATCTATTTTCTGTACAAACATTACACATATGGATAGTCCTCCACATGCCTAGGAGGTAGCAATATGGTGCTCTATTACATGCAGCATTAGCTACCAGATTTCTCTCCTTATCTGCATTCTTCCTGTGTTTCTCCCTGTCCTTGCCACTTATTTTACCCCATCCTTTATGCACTTTCTGTTTAATAAGAACATTAGATAAGACAATGTTGTAGAGTTCTTTTTATCCAAAGAATAAAGTTGGCTTTTGGTGAATATTGACAGAGAATGTGAATTGCAGGAAAGTTGGATGAAAGGTAGAAGAAGCTTGTTGGATTTTTTGAAGAAGTTGGGGACCTTCCGTTCTATGCGATGCAAAGGTTGCCACTGTTGTTTTCTGTATTAGGTATATGGTCTCTTTTTGTCCAGTACAAGGTACTTTTTTTTCGTGTTCCTGTAGTCATTTTTCCTCATCTTATTTCTCCTTCTTGAGGAAGCATATTTTTAAGATAAGAAGTTGAAACTTGGAGACATTCTAAAAGATGACATGATAACTTAATCTGAAGATAACTAATAAGGTGGAAATCCAAAAAATAAAATATTAAACATTCCATATAGATGTTGCTTCCCACTGCTTACTTTGCTTATTTGAATTTTTATTGCTGCCTTTTTGTGAATTTTCTAATGTGTAGCCATTTTAGCATTTTCTGCACGAACTTATGGAATTGTTTAAGCTTTTTAACATTATTGAACTACCTGACCAGCTGTGAAATAATGACCTTAACTTTAGGAAAGACCAAGTAAGATTTGTTGTATGAGGAAAAAGACTAAATAGTAGAATTGATGGCACTGACCAATGAATCAAAATGAGGGATATGTTAGAGATATAACATAGCCCCCGCATAAATGATATACATGTATTAATCAAGACACTAAGCACGCAACAATATTAAGTTCTATCTATTATGCTTAAGGTGGGTATTGATATTTTAAGTACCTCGATACAAAGCTGATAAACAATTTAGGACTCCCAAAAAATTGTAAATCAACCATTATGGGGTGCTCAAATGTGGTTGATAGTGTCTTATAGCTATTGGTGATTTACCTTAGGTCAAAAAAACATAAAATCTTGAAATAGATTCGGTGCGCAGAAGTTGAGCGATGAATTGATCGTTAATTTGGTAAAATTTTAGATGTTTGGAGCATTATATGAGTAGTTGAAAATAATTGCATGTTGTGGATTTGTTTATGTTGTTTCTTGAATATACTAATAAAAGAAGAGAAATAAATGCTGCTTTAATTAATATCATGCTGAATTATTTATTTGGTTTCTTTGAGTTGGAAATGAAAACGAGAAATGGATGAAGTAGTTTGGTTGGTATTAGTGTATCAGGTAAATTGAATATATAAAATGATTGCTTTTTCTTGATTGAAATGTTATTTGAGCAATTTTGAACAACTCAAGTGGGTAATCATTATTAGACCTCCGTTATACATCAGGTTATTCTTGTTCGAAGTGGGGTTCATGCTAAGCTAATAATTCAAGATGTGTATTGTAGTATTAATTTTCATGGTTATCAGCTTCAGGCAAGCAACAAAAGATTAATTAACAAGAATTCCAAGTGCAGTACTTAAGGAACTTCTTATCATTTTTCTCCTACTTATGTCTCTATAAACTGGTATTTTCTTATATTAATTGTATGGTTTTATTCTTACTTGCTATTGCAACAGAGCTATAGTGTGGTCTTTCTATCACGTGTTACTTACCATTATTTAATATGAACATCTTTTTACTAAAAAATCAAATTTGGAATCAGCTAACATAGGTCTCTTTGGCAGGGACACAACAATGATGTTGAGATTGTATGGTCTTGTGGGTGAAGTATTCACATTTGAGGGGAGAAAATATCACCGGCTATATTATTATTTTTGTTGGAAATTCATTTTGCGGGACAAAATATTTATGGGTGAATTGTGTTAGATGCAGAGAATTTGCATGAAGAGCTTGTAACATAGAACATGCTTACCAATTATAGTTTTAACATATAATTTCTTCATGTGCCAATAGTTTTATTGTAGACTAAAAAAACCAAATTACAGTACAGGGAACACATCTTATTTTGTTATTGTATAGATTGTATATATGTAAAAAGATTACTTTATGTCATTTTGCGAGCACACAACACCCACTAAATCGATATTTTGTTAAATTTTGTACAACTTGGATAACTTTTTGTATGTGCTATATAGTATGAAGTAATGACTGTGCAATATTATTTTTATATGAATTATTACCATGTACATCTTTCCGTCTCTTCTTTTGTCGTTCTGCAAATTTGTCTGCCCAATATCAGTACAAAAGTTATCAAGATTAATTAACTCTGTTATATAAACAATCAAAATAAGAATAAGTATTCCAGCTATTATAATATTGGGCCCGCAGCGCGGGCCATAATCCATCTAGTTATTTGTCCTAGTTCACCAAAAAGTTATTTCACGCGCTTAGTTTTGAGTAAGAATCACACATTTTTCATGTCAGCGTCTTGTGTTCAATAGATATAATTTGAGTCTACATTAAGTGTTCAATAGGTCATACGCTTAGTTTAAGTGTCTAAATAAAAAAATTAGGACAAGTTTAAGGGGCTACTTATGTATTCAACCTTTAAAATTAAAAGAAGTGATTGTTTATGCTCTTTAAAAGAGCATATAAGTTTAGAAAATAAGATAAAAGTCACAACATTGACAAAAAAGATAATTGAGTTTCCTGCCAATAAAAATGGCACATCAGTTTGTCAATTGCTTGTTTTATATATATATATATATATATATTAGTTGATTTCCTTGCGCTACGTGCGGTCATTAATGAAAATAAAATATGACTAAATTATATATACGAATTATATATATATATATATATTTAATTTTTATATGCATATTTTTTTTGGTAAGTAAATGATTTTATGTACCAGTATCAATATGTACAAACAACAAATAAAATTGAGCCTAGATAGTCCCTAGGATCGGACAACTCTATCTACTCAGCAACCATACAATTCTAAGGATAAAAGTTTAGTTCTTCAAGCTTCCTTGCTAGTCGACTCTGCATTAATCCTCTACTTACCACCTTTTAAATAATGTTTCTAATTAGCACTTCAGTCTGTTGTTGTTGCTCTTGAAAGACTCTCATATTCCTTTCTCTCCAAATATGGTATATAGCACAAGCCAGAGTTATTCTATATAATTACGCATCGGCATTTCTGACCCTTTGTCTTGTCCTTTTCCTATTTTATCTCCCTCTGCCAGTCTAGAGCACTTCTCAATATGCCTTGCCATCTTAGTAGTTTCTCCCAGATTCTCTTAGAGACCACACATCTTAAAAAAAATAGGTGCTTCATAGTCTCATTTTCTTCATTACACATAGGACAACATAGATTATCAGTTATCCCCAAGCATTCAATATATCACTTGTGAGTAATCTTCTTTGTATAGCCAAGTTCAGCACAAATATCCATTTTGGAGCTCCCGCAGTATTACATGTAAGCCTTCTCCATATCACTTTTTGAAACTCCCCTCACATGGTATTGTATAATTTCTGAACAGAAAAGAAGTTTCAGCTAGCCACTTCTTGCATAGTGTATCATATTTCTTCAAAGTACTCTTTAGCCTTGATAATCTTTTGAACTATCTAGGATGCATATCTAGGATTAGCTTCGCATACTAATTGCCTTTTCCCATAGTACATATAGATCCATTGCATCCACAACTTGTCTTTCTTCTTGCAAAGATTCCATAACAGCTTACATATTGCAGCTCTATTCCATGTGTATATATCCAACGCATTGCAGCCCCGGGCTGTTTTTGGAGTGCACACTTTCTCCTATGCTAGGAGAGCTTTTCTTGATATTTCTACTCCACCTATCCACAAAAGGGTTCTGCACACTGCTCCTATCTTCTTTATCAAATTTTTAGGCAGCACAAAAATCTGGGACCAATATATTTGAATGCAGAACAATTTTTATATGCATATTTAAGAATTTCCAAAACAAAGAAGATATGTGAAATAAGAAGAAAAAGAAAATACAAAACAAAACAAATAAATTTGTACCTTTTTCATTCTGTGTTAATAATGGCATATAAAAATTCATGGTATTTAAAACGATTTACTTGAAATAATATAATTCGAAATCCGCAAATATAGTAACATATTATTTGTACATAAACAAATATATTCACAGTCATGCTTTACAAGAATGATATGGTAAAACTCTTTTATATAGTTGGGTTTATGCCTTAAAAATTTATTTGAGTTGACTTCGATCAACGTTTTGAGCAAACGGTTCCGGATCTATTTTTTGACTGTCCTGGTGGGTCTGTATCGTGATTTGGGACCTGGGCGCATGCCAAGAATCGAATTTGGAGGTCCTTGTCACGACCCGGATTTCCCACACTCGGGAGTCGTGATGGCGCCTACTCGTGAAAGCTAGGCAAGCCGAGTATTATAGATTTACTAACTCTTTTATTTAGCCCTGTTTAACAGTTTAAAATAACATACGATCAACAATGAAATATTAACAATAAATGAAGATATGCTGAAGATGTAATGAGATAACTTAGGTAAAAAAAAAACAAGTACGACAATACCAAGTATATCTCTACCCGGAACCGGTGTCACAATATCACGGACCATCTACGAATATTACAAACAATTGTCTGAAAAGAAAGATACAATCTGTCTTTGAAGTAAATGAAAACAGAATATAAGGATGGAAGAGAACACAGGGTCCTACGGACGCCTGCAGGACTACCTCGGGATCTCCGACTGGACTGAAGGCAGCCACCCAAAGCTATGGTCCAAAAGTTGCCGCTCCGGGATTTACACACAGTGCAAAGTGTAGTATCAGTATAACCGACCCCATGTGCTCGATCCAAATATAACATTGTTGCGGCGTGCAACCCGATCTATTTCATGCAATTCAACACCAATCACAAAAGAGTCCTGGCAATGGAACGATAAGGAAACAACACTATCTCGGTAAGGGAATCGATAGTATAAGTAAATACGTCCCGGCAAGGGAATCAACTATAACCAAACTTGTTCTAACATTTAACTTCACAAAATAAACCTCATCTAGCACCAATGCTCAATCGTAAGCAAATTTCCACGAGAATAATCATATTTCTTGCTCACCACAGTGAATCATCAACTTAGGCATTTGTAGTACTTATTAAGAACACAACAATTTCAATTTACGACTCACGGTCATGCTGACACCAACGTATAGATACTCAACACCATGTCTGTACGTCGTACTCAACAAGTAACACATAGCAAATATGACACAACTCCTAATCCCTCAAGCTAAGGTTAGACCAAACACTTACCTCGAACTTCCACGGACAATTCAAGCCTCAAACAACACTTTTCCATTAGAATTCGCCTCCAAACAACTCGTATCTAGTCCAAATTGATTTAACATCAATAAATGCTAAAGAATTCATACCCAATGCTTAATTATAGGTTTTCTACCATTTACCCCAAAAAGTCAAAAATTGACCCCGGACCCGCTTGGTCAAAACTCGAGGTTCGGACCAAAATCAGATCATCCATTCACCCACGAGCCCAAATATATAGTTAGTTTCAAAATACGACCCCAAAACGAGGTCTAAATCCCAATTAATCAAAAAGCTCTAACTCTACCCAAATTCCTAATTTCTACCATAAAACCCCTAGATTTTAGGATAAAAATCGATGAAATGCAATGGAAAATCGAAAATAAAAGGTTTAGAATTATTTACCAATGTTTTGGGGAAGAAATTGTTCTTTGAAAATCGCCTCAATGCTCCCAAATTTCGAAAATATGAAGTAAATGGGTTCTACCCCGTTTTTGCTTCTGTTTTAAAATCACTAGGCAGACCTTCATCGCGTTTGCCATGGGTCCATCTCTTTCGCGATGGGTCAGGCCCAATTGGCCATCGCGTTCACGATAACAGGCTCGCATTCGCGGAGCTTCAGCCCCCAGAGTCTTCGCTTTTGCAGTCGGGTGGCCGCATTCGCATAGAGTAAAATCCCTCTCCCCCTGGCCAGGCCCAAATGCCTTCACGTTCGTGATAGCAGGTCCGCGTTCGCGAAGGGAAACACCCCCAAAGCTTCGCTTTCGCGTCTTGTGTCTCGCATTCACGTAGAAGGAAAATTCCTTCAGCCTGACTTGCCCTTCGCATTCGTGAGAGTCCTTCCGCGAACGCGAAGAACAACACACTAGAACACCAGAAACTGAAAACCTGCAACTTCTTTTCTAAGTTTAAAACCTTTCGAAATCAATCCGAAACACACCCGAGCCCTCGGGGATCCAAACCAAACATACATACTAACTCAAAAACATCATATGCACTTATCTGTGCGATCAAATCGCCAAAATAACATCTTTAACGATGAATTTATCATAGAAATCTAAGAAAAACCTCAAAACTTTCAAAGTATCAATTTTTACCACTACGGGTCCGAATCACATCGAACGACTTCCGTTTCTTACCAAATTTCACAGGCTCAACTTAAATCATATATAAGACTTGAACCGGCTCCAAAACCTAAATACGGGCCCGATACCAACAACTTCTAAACATTTTTCATTTCTAAAACTCATAAATTTTCCAGAAAACAATTTTCTTCAAAAATTTATTTCTTGGGCTTGGGACCTCAGAATTCGATTCCGAGCATACTCCTAAGTCCCATATTTTCCTACAGACCCTCCGGGACCGTCATCACGGCTCCGGATCCGTTTACCAAATTATTGACCGAAGTAACTTAAGTTCATTTTAAAGGCAAAGTTCATCATTTTCACAGGTTTTCACATAAGGGCTTTCCGGTTACGCGCCCCGACTGTGCATGCAAATCGAGGTGGTACTAAAAGAGGTTTTTAAAGCCTTGGAACACAGAATTTATTTCTAAAACAAGTGATGACCCACATTCTCCACCTCTAAAATAACCGTTCGTCCTCAAACGGACATAAAAAGGAAGTACCTGAGTCGGGGAAAAGATGGGGATAACGGCTTCGCATATCAGACTCG